TTATTGCAAATACGCACTCCATGTTTTTATCAAGGTGAGTAGTCCCAAAGAAAGTAATTGGACTCATGAGTTCGACATCCCAATATCCACCAATGCTCATATTGCTACTTTGACGAAGTAGGTTGAACTATCAGTAAAATCTAACCAAGGAGCAAATGCAGTGATGATCAATTCAATTCGTGAAAATTTTGGAACTAATCATGCTACAGAGAATTGCTTGTTGCTGACTTCTCTAAAAGAACACGTAAATTACATTCAGAATGGTCCCAAAGATATAGTTTGGTTGGAAGGCAACACCCAAGCTTCAAATGGTCTGATAATCAACAAGGCTATAGTTCAATTCATTCCAGGAGAGAAAGCCAAGTTTGGGAATATGCTTCAACAGTAAATGCAGAAAAGATAAATAATTCCAACAAACTGAGACAAATTTTCAAAATCAGCATGCAACAAAATTTCAACGTTTATTAAATGTATTAGAGCAGTGTGTTGTGGCATGGTGCAGATAGCTGCCGAATGGGGAAGAAAATGAAACTTCCCCCTTTTCCAGTACGTGTTTGTTTAATTGTTTGATGTAGGATTTGTTTCCACTTTTGAAAAGATATAAACTTTAATTGTAATTATTTTTTATTCATTTAAAGAAAGTGGCAAATTCATTATTTCACAACTTTGATAATCTACAGAACGTTGATAAATACAATTATCCTATTTAAAAGCGACCATTTTATCAAATCTGAGAAGATGGTGCCATTTTATTCTCCTAAAAAGGAGCTATTTGAAAAAGAAAAACCTTTAACCAAAAGGGTTTCTTAGAGCAGTCGACTTTAGCTTTATTGGTGGATCTCACATCAGCTGGATCAGCTTAGAGGAAAGACAAGTGTTGATAAGGAATGCTAGCAAAGCAAGAGAAAGGAGAAGGCGGGCCAAACATAAGGATGAGTGGTACAATTATACATTCCTTCAGTATGCGAAACTAGAAACAGTATGTAAAATTTATTTTGCCAACTAGAAACAGTAAAACCAGATCAGTCCTATCGGGCCAAAGTTCAAACTGTAGGGCAAAATAGGCTTAGCAGAAATAAGATAGTAGTATCAACAAAACCCATAAGCCTCGCCAATGCCCACCGAACCTTCTGCCACCACTGCCCACGATTAGAACAACTTTAATATTTCCTCACTTTTTATATATAAAATAAAATAAATTTGTTATATAAAAAATTGATTAAATCGAAACCTTTTCAACTGAAAAACTATAGCTTTTGTTTCTTTATGTTGATCTAATAATAGTAAGAAAATGAAGAGAATAAAAGATTATTAATTTGGAGTTAAAATCTTTATGCACGCTTAGCCCCATACAAATAGCAAAGAACACACGTCTTTTTATGCTCGAAACAAAAATAATTGGATTTCAGTTAGGTAAAGTAAACAAACCAACCCTTCACATATAACACTGGAAAAAGTTAAGAAAAATAAAGCCCACTAAAATTCAAGCAGAAAGCCATAATGCCATACATATTTCTCTCTATCCACACCCAAAACATGGCAAAAACAAGTAACACGAATACCCCCAATAAGCATTATCATCCTGGTTAATTGATCTTTGCCTTCGAAAAGTCCATTTCCGGGTGCTGTATATTTACATAGTTACCAATCAGTATCCGCATAATCAAAACCTGTAATGCCCATAAAATGCAGTAGGGGTCATTCAGTTCTCACCTCAGCCATAAACTTCTTCAGAATCTCTTGTTTCTGCATCTCATCACTTGTCGGAAGGCCCATGGATTTCTGTCGTTGGTCAAACTGCAGAAAGCGTTTAAATGAAATCATTGGAAAACATCAAATGTTAAAAAGGAACAAAAAAGATCGAGAAGATAAATTGACAGAAGCAAAGAAATGCAAAGATCAAAGATTACAAAACAAGACACAAGTTAAATGAAGTGGAATACACCCTGAAGTTTCCAAAACCGGGCAACAAGTAACAATGCCTCAAAACCTGCTTCAAGTGCCAGGCCTGTGTTAGTCTCTATTCATTGGAGGGCCATAATGCACCATATAATTGGAAACCCACCCGACACTCGATTAAGTCACAGTAATATTGATCCTCCCCCTCCCCGACAAAAAGAAACAAGAGGCTAGAATTTTGTTCCCAAAAATTTGGGATTAAGTATATCAATCTTTTTCATCTATCCATCTAATCCAGCCTAACCCAGAAAGATCAATTTGACCTGGACTTTCCATTTCTATTAGCGAACTCTACCATTTAGTAAAGCAAGTAAATTATAAGAACTCTACCATCATTTTTTCCACAGTTGTACGGGTTTCGGGATCCAGGTCCGACAGTTTGCTGTTTTCAGGTTCTACTTTCTGAGTATCAATCTCGGGCTCACCCTTCACTAAATATTTCCACCATTCCATCTGGTTCTGCTTGGTTAGGAGTACAGAGATGGATTTCTGATCCTCTGCATGAAGTAGAGAAATAGGTTTCATTCATTTCATCACTTCCAAAAACACAAACCAAATATGCATCTAATAAGGTATCATAACATTGATTGCTATATTGATGAGATACATTTGTAATGCGGAAAGTTGTATTGAGTAGTGGTTGCAATAAGACCTACCTAAGCTCCAGAAGCAGTCCTCAACCTTCACAGGCTGAAAAAGTTCCCCCTGCAAAACATAAAACATCAGTAGTTGGACTCTTGAAAACTACAGTAGAAAAAAAAAGCACAGTAGGATAATCATGAACCAGTGTAAAGGTGCAAACCACTTACATCGATGGCAGGAGATTGGCCTTTAAGCCCAACTTTTAGATAATTCTTCTTTATTTCACATGTAATGAACCTCGACTTCGTTCCAGGAGGAACGGGAACAGTGATGTTAACCTCTTGCAATGATTGACCCCAAGAATAGTTATCCATATCCAAACCGTTTCCTTTGTTAGGAGCTGGTCCAACACAAGTAAACCATCAGTAATCAAAACAACATTGTCTTTCCACGAAGAGCACATAATGGGTAAACACAAGTACAACCGTTTCCCTTTAGTACAATCTCAGGATTATAACCCATGCAATATTATATAAGTTTATATTAAGGCAAAATTGCATGCTAGCTAAGCAGAACATCATATATACAATCGATGCAAATCATATTTAACCCTGCACCCCAGTCCACCTCAGGAAAGAGAGAGAGAGAGAGAATTGTAAACAATAAAAGAACATGAATGGTTAAAATTGCACACCAAAGATCCTAATGCAACACTTCTGAAACCTATATTTTAAAGCCTCTCATGAGGCAATTCCAAACAAGCTATTTGTATTTCTATGTTAGACCTCCCAAAACCACTTTCTATAGTAAAAGTGTAAAACACAGCACAATTCAAAGAGTCAACCCATCTTCTCTTCACCCCTTTTCACAAATCAACTATGAACAATGGGATACACAGAATAATACTCCTAACAAGAAAGCATCTCTCAAGGCCACCTACCTACACACATTTTTCCTCATAATCACAAGAATTAAATTCAAAACAGAGATGAATCCATACACAACAATAGAGATTCAACCGAACTACAAAAAACCCTAAGACTAACGTTCTATGAAAATTGCAAACACTGAGTGTAATCAAAGGGATTGTAAAGTACAAATAGTTATCAAAAAGATATCTGAGAGAATAACATAACATAATCAGTAGATTTAGAATTATCATCTATAAACCTCTATTCTTACAGAAAAGAAATCAAAATTAACAGATCAGACCAGATACATTGTATATTACAGAATATTTCTAATTCAATAATATAGCAGAAATACTTTTCCATTCTACTTTGTTATGATATCAGAGCCATTGGCCAAAGCCTACAACAAAGCATAATCCTTTTTATTTTTTCTTTTTCTTCACCTCCATTGTTGCTTGTTTACTGCTGCTGTCATCATGGAATCAAAGCCTTCACAGCACACCTCCCCCTCACCCAGTCCACAGCCGCTGTCGACACGGTTCAACAGGTCACTGCAAACGTTAATCCAACCGATCAATGCACCACTTCAACCATCATTGCACTCAATGTTGCTGCACAAGTGCCATTGAAGCTTACCGCCTAGAATTATTTTTCGCGGCGCGCATACAATTCTCAAATCTTCTCACCGGCTATGATTTGCTCGGATTTGTCGATGGTACATACCCATGTCCTAAGCAAACCATCACGGTCAATGGCGTCACAACCGTTAATCCCGCGCATCACACATGGGTACGTCAACATCAACTCATCTTGAGTGCTATAATTGGTTGTTGTCTCCGACTTTGATTCCCTTTATTGCAACCGCTCGAATGTCTCGCGATCCGTGGTCAACCTTGGCCCTCACATATGGTAAACCAACGCGTGGTCACATAACCCAATTGAAAACTCAACTAAGTAACCCAATCAAAGGCTCCCAAACGATCACCGAGTTTATGCAAAATATCCAAATGAAAGTGGATGAACTTGCAATGATGAATGCCCCAGTTGACATTGACGATCTTACCATCAAGATTCTTACTAGTCTTGATGAGAACTATACAGAACTTGCCAATGCTATTCAAGCACGAGAGGCGGAGCCAAGAAGGGTAACCAAATAACCCTCCCGGTTACCGCCAGTGTAGTTGGTAAGTCTAGACCACTGAATAGGTGGAATAGTCGCTCCACAGGCTCCCCACAAACCAGCCTTTTCGATCTTATGGGACATGGACTCCCTGACCACCACAGACACGGAGTCAATGTTGCCCTCATCCTTACCTTGGGCGCTGCCAATTGTGCGAACAACAAGGACATTTTGCTAAGAGGTGCCCGACCCTCAAACATTTCTCGTGGACTGGTTCGGTGGCACCACAGACTCAGAATAGGCCCGGATATGCTTCTTCTCAAGCCAACGATGCAGCTTACTCCTTTGCTCCATCCTAATCTGAATAGATTCTAGACTCGGGTGCCATACATCATGTGACAACTGATCTTGCTAATCTCTCACTCCATTCTCCATATGAGGGATCAAATGATGTCATCGTCGGCAACAGTGCAGGCTTGAACATTACCCATATAGGTTTTCTTTCTCCACCTTATAATCCTTCTTCCCTTAAATTTTCAAATGCCCTTTGTGTGCCTTCAATGAACAAAAAATTGTTATCTATTTCCCAACTCTACAAAACTAATAATGTTATTGTTGTTTTTACTCCAACACACTTTCGGGTGAAGGATCCTCGCACGGGGGCCATCCTCCGTCAAGGTCCACTTACAAGAGGCATCTACTCTTAGTCTTCATCTTTGGGTGTGTCGTTTAGGTCATCCCTCCAACAGAGTCATATGTCATTGTCCAAGTACGTGTCCTGTTCTTCTAGTCCATCGAGTAATTTTCATTGTAATGCTTGTCTATGTACTAAAAGCAACAAATTACCCTTTCATGATTCCTCACTTATATTCAATTCTCCTCTTGATTTGGTGTTTTAAGATGTCTTGACTTCTCCGGTTTTATCATGTGATGGCTATAAATATTATGTGATTTTTGTTGATCATTATACCAAATATATCTGGTTCTACCCACTTAAAAATAAATCCAATGTTCTGGATGTGTTCAAATGCTTCAAATCACTCGTGGAAAAACTTTTGAATCGACCTATTGTCACACTCTAAATATTATGTAATTTTTGTTGATCATTATACCAAATATATCTGGTTCTACCCACCTAAAAATAAATCCAACGTTCTGGATGTGTTCAAATGCTTCAAATCACTCGTGGAAAGACTTTTGAATCGACCTATTGTCACACTCTACACAAACAATGGTGCGGAATATATAGCTCTCAGAGACTTCCTTGGGACTTATGGAATCTCCCATTTGATCGTCCCACCTCACACACCTAAACATAATGGTTTTTCAGAACATAGACATCGCTACATTGTTGAAACCGATTTAACGTTACTTCACCAAACGTCCGTCCTCTCCTCGTTTTGGCCCTTTGCCTTTGCTACCGCTATCTCATTAACCATATGCCCAAACGAAACCTATCTATGAAATCATCCTTTGAGTGTCTCTTTCAAACTCCTCCGAATTTCTTTAAACTTCGGGTGTTCGGGTGTCTTTGTTATCCTTGGCTACGTCTTTACATATCTCACAAGTTGAAAACTCGTTCTGCTTGTGCATTTCTTGGTTACTCCCTTACTCAAAGTGCTTACCTATGTTATGATCTGTCATCTCGAAAAATTTCTCTCGTCATGTTATGTTTGTTGAGTCTAAGTTTCCTTTTCAAACGTCCTCTTTGGCCATGTTGGTGTTGATTCCAACGATGGATTGCCGGATATGAAACCGTCGAAGGAGGCCGAGGGGGCCTTTGTGTCGGGTTATCCGTTGCCAGTTCCTCCGCCCTCACTTACTGCCGGAGTTACCTTGCCCAATTCGCCTCCCAATCCTACATCCAGAGATCTCTCACCGCAAACAACTTCTCATGAGCACTCCCGTGACCTCCTCTCCTAATGACACCCAACAGAATCTTTCCCGTCGTGACTCACCGACTCTACCACTTCTCGCTTTCCTCCACCCCATGGTAACCCGATCCAAGAATAACATCGTCAAACCAAACATGATAGGTCCCAATCAAATGCAATTTATATGGTGAGAAAATAATTCTTTTCGGGTGAGAATTGTACCACAATTAGAACTCTTTCTTTGGATAAATATTTCTCTTTTTTATTGAAATAGAAGAAACTGTGGTTTATATAGGCAAAACCATGTTCAACTTACATGCAAAAATAAAGGGAAACTTCCTAAGAAATGGATAACAAAAGCATAATGCAAAACAGAGTGCTAGACGTGTGCAAAACAGGAAATGAAAACTAGAAAACATAATGCTGAATTTTCTCAACAGCCCCATGGACTTGGTCTTATTCTCCATCTAAAGCATACATTCTCTCTCTCTCTCACCTTTCACCTATCAATACCTCCCCCTCAAGTGGACACTTGTCCCCAAGGTCCACACCTAGATGCTGCTTCTGGAGGTCTTCTTCGATGTTGATAACTTGCACTTGCTTTGTCTTCAGGTGGGTTGCCCTCTATGATCTCTTCACAGGTAATTTTGCTCGTGTTTGTACACCCCTCAAGCAACAAAAATTGTGATTTTTGGCACTTGTGACCAGCAGTAAAAATATCATTGCAATTGAAACAAAGACCCTGTGCTCTTCGTTTTTTCATTTCATCCCACGTTAGACTTTCAACCTGGGATGCTTCCGTGTACCGCGTTGGAGTTTGAATGGTTGGCTGCAGCCCGTTGGTTGGAAGTAAACTTGTGGAACTCTGTTGGCGGAGCAGCTGCTCATCTTTCATACACGCGAGACTAATAACATCCTTAAGTGTTCGAGGCTTAAACATGCGGATCTCTCCCGCAATCTTGGGCTTTAAGTCCTCCCATGAAGGTTCCCACCAGAGCCTTTTGAGTACATCCTTGCACACAGTTGCCCAATCTTTCAAATTCTCGCTGGTATTCACGAAGAGAACTCGTTTGCTGTATGTGTGACAAAGCTTCATCAAAGTCCTCTCCGTCGATAGGTTCAAATCGGGCCCATAATTCCTCCTGAAAGACCGTCCATGTCACTTCATTTCCTTCCTCTCTATATGTCCGGCTTAACTACCTCCACCATTGATTGGCCTCGCCTTCTAGATGAAATGAAGCCAATGAGACCTTCTGTTCTTCTGCCATGGCTTGAAAATCGAAGTATTAGTCCACTCGAGCAAACCATTATGTTGGGTCCTCAGCTGAGAATTTGGGAAACTCAAGTTTGGCTGTTTTAGATTACACAACCCGTCGGTTTCCAACTGTGTCTTCCTTCTCGTTGTTGCGAGAATTGCAATCCCGATCAACGTTGTTGTGGCTAGTGCCTTCCTTGTTGGGGAACAAGGCCTCTGACATCCGATGGAGCATTGCTTCGAGTTGGTTAATCTTGTCAACCATACCAAGTTCTATCCTGTTCATGCCTTCCTGAAGGCTTCCAAGCCCAGCCTCCAAGCTTTCGATGCGTTCCTTGTTAGGTCCCAGTCAAATGCAGTTTATATGGTCAGAAAATAATTCTATTCGGGTGAGAATTGTACAACAATTAGAACTCTTTCTTTGGATAAATATTTCTCTTTTTTTATTGAAACAGAAACTGTTGTTTATATAGGCAAAACCACGTTCAACTTACATGCAAAAATAAAGGGAAACTTCCTAAGAAATGGATAACAAAAGCATAATGCAAAACAAAATGCTAGATGTGTGCAAAACATGAAATGAAAACAAGAAAACATAATGCTTAATTTTCTCAACAACCCCATGGACTTGGTCTTCTTCTCCATCTAAAGCCCATGTTCTCTCTCTCATCTTTCACCTATCATATAGCCTCACTGTTGCTACCGAGCTGGATACCGCTGAGCCTACCTCTCACACTCAAGCTCTCAAAAATCCACGTTCGATGCTCTACTTCGCAATGGTACCTGAGGTTGGGACTTGGTACCTCCTGATACGTCTCCGAATATAGTTGGTTGTAAATAGGTTCCGTATCAAGTAGAAACCCGATGGCACCATCAATCGCTACAAGGCTCAGCTTGTAGTAAAGGGCTTTCATCAATGACCAGGGCTTAACTTTCATGGCACATTTAGCCCAGTGGCTAAACCCACACAGTTCGGGTTCTCCTCTCCTTGGTAGTTTCCCAAGGTTGGTCTATCTGTCAGATGGATGTTAATAATTTCTTTCTTCAAGGTTCACTAGATGAAGATGTCTTTATGTCCCAACTGCCAGGATTTGTTGATCCCAATCTTCCCACCTATGTGTGTAAGCTCAACAAAGCCATCTATGGTCTTGAACAAGCTCCTCAAGCATGGTACAATGAATTGCGTCGCTTTCTCCTTGAGGTTGGCTTTAAAAATTCCGTCAGATGCATCACTATTTATTTATCATCATGGGGAGACTACCTTGTATCTTCTGGTATATGTTGATGACCTGATTCTTACGGGGAGTGATGATATGGCCGTCTAAAATTTTGTTGATCAGTTGGGTTCTCGTTTTTCGATCAAAGATCTCGGTGCTTTATCCTAGTTCCTTGGTGTTGAGGTGGTCTCTTGTCCAGAGGGCCTACGCCTCACTCGGCAGAAATATCTTTTGGATATCCTTACCAAGCACAGCATGGAAAATTCTAAACCCGTTTAGACGCCGCTAGCCACCTCCCCTTCCCTGCAGCTCCATGATGGTTCTCCACCTACGGATGCTTACAGTATCTTCTCATTAGTCGTCCTGACATCGCCTTTGCTGTCAACAAGCTATCCAAGTTCATGCATGCTCCGACGACTCATCATTGGGGCGCTGTTAAGCTTCTCCTTCAGTACCTCAATGGTATACGGTCCTATGGTATTCGCCTCGCCACAGTTCTGTCTCTTCATGCCTTTTGTGATGCAGATTAGGCGGGTAATCCTGATGATCGTACCTCTACAGGTGCCTATATTGTTTTTCTTGGTCCTAATCCTATTTCTTGGAGTTTAAAGAAGCAACATTCTGTTGCTCGCTTTTCCACAGAAGCTGAGTATCGGGCAATTGCTTATGCCGCTACAGAACTTCAGTGGGTACGTTCTCTACTTGAAGAACTGGGTGTCTCAATCCGTGTTCAACCGACTCTTTATAGTGACAACATTGGTGTGACATATTTATGCGCGACAGCATATCGCTCTTGACTATCATTTTGTTCGTGAACTAGTGCAAAGTGGTCACCTTCGAGTCTCTCATGTTTCTTCCGCAGATCAACTGGCAGATGCACTAACTAAACCACTCCCTCGGCTCCGGGATATTCTCTCAAGATTGGTGTCTCCATTGGAGCACCATCTTGAAGGGGCCTAACAGATAAGATCAGATACATTGTATATTACAGAATATTTGGTGTATAGTTGACTTATTCTTGTAATCCTAACTTAGGATAGCCAGTCATTTAGAATATTCTAGTCTCCTTATTCTTTGCCTTTCTTGATTGTGTAAACGTGTGTATATATATATATCTGTCATTCTAAATCAATAATATAGCAGAAATACTTTTCCATTCTACTTTGTTAAAAATCAATGAGAAATACCTCGAGGCCCTTTTTTCTCATCCACCTTGGTCTCACTTTCTCTATTTACCTCCTTCTCAGCCACCGTTGCCTTCACCACTTCCTTTTGCACCGCCTCAGCAACTGGTGGCTCCACCTTTGCTTCCTTTTCGGCCTTTGCATTTTCTTTGGCCTTCAATTCCTTCGTCCTCTTCTTCTCCTCGGCCTCCACTTTGTCCTTCACCATCCGAACCACAGCACTCACATCATTCACCAACGAATTGCTCTTGAAAAAATCACTCTCCCTTGCAACAAACTCAAAAACCTTCTCCAGAAATCCAATCGGGTCCGACGGATCAAGCACGGAGCTAAACTGTGCCTTTTTGACAGACGAAGTCGTCGGCTTCTTTTGATCCTCTTCTTCGTATTCAGATAATATTGCCATTAGTTTATTGATTGATTTCCAACAAAATTCAAGCAACGATTTAAGGGTTTTCGATTTTTGGGAATCGCAGGGGAAGACAGAATTGATATGACTTTTATATTAGAGGAGGAAGAAACGTTCTTGAAGAATTTTAGAGAGTAAAGGAGTTTTCTGGAAGATCCTACTTTTTGAAATTTGTAGACAGGTCCTTGCAATTCTTCAAATTATTAGTACTGCTACATATATTAATTTGAAATTTGCTTTAAAATCCCATTGAAAATTGCCCAAAAAACCATACTGAATTTGATATCTTCGACTTGTGTCCCTCGTGGAGCTATCATTTTCTGGAACTTCTATATTTATTTCATCATGGCACTCGACATTTAAATGGATCTTTTTCAAGAACTGTCGCATGCCTGAATTGAAGCCCAAGACGGGGTTGCTACACGGTGTCGTAGATTCATCAATGGACGACGTTGTTGGTTTGATTGGTATGTCGCGATCTGGTGCATGGCAGTGCTAGTTTCGAATATGCTTACATTCGCTCATCGTCGTTGCTCGACGTGATCTGGTGTGCAGCAATGCTGCGTGTGATCTGTGACGATGGCGTTGTGGTGGTAGTTTTTGTTGGATTTGTTGGTTTTTGGAGTGGTGCATGATTTGTGATGATGGTACCATGGTGGTTTTCATATTTTGGTGTTGGGGTAGTTTTTGTTGGTGGTGACGGTGTCAGTGGTGGTGGTGGTGGCGATGTTGTTGTACTTGATGTTGGTGCCAATTGTGGTGGTGGTGGTGCGGCGGCGACGGAGTGGGAATAAGAGAATTTGTGACCAACTATTTAGGTATTTGAATTCAACTATTTGGTTGATTTGTGATCAAATATTGGTGGTGGATCGGGATCCAAGGTGGGAGTGGGGTGTTTGATGTATGTGACCAACTATTTTTTTATTTGTGACTAACCATTTAATTGTGAAGTAAAAATTATATAATTTATGATTGAAAATAATTTGTAACCAACTAGTTTGAAAATATGTGACCGACGAATAAACTGACTTATAAATTTTTTGATTTGTGACCGTAAAATGATTTGTGACTAATTAATTTGATAATATGTGACCAATAAATAAATTATGACATATAAGTATGTAATTGTGACCGTTGATTGTATAATTATGACATTAATATATTTATTTATTTATCACATGAGTTTTGAATTTTGAAACATAAAATCTGGAAATTGAATTGGTAATAGTTAATGTCTAAGTTGTGAATTTTTCCCAAAGAAATACTACCGTACCACAAGTATTAATTTATGTTAGTTAGTGCTCGAAAAAATTGGCTTAATAGAAATCTGTATAAAATCAAACAATTTGTTATCAGACGTATCTTTTTGTTATACCGTTGACTATTGAGTAGGATTTATTCGACGTAGATATTAGTTTTATTTTTGAATTTGTAGTACTAACTCTTAAAATCCAGCCTTTTAGTTCTATATAAATTGTATTGGTGATTATCAATAAAACATATCGTCTTTCTCTGATTTTTGTTCTCAAAAACTTTAATTTTGTGTATATTATAGTTCTTATGAAACCATCTCAGAGAATTTTGTTTTAGCTTAAATTAAGATTTTGATATTGTTTTTGTTTAAGGTCTGACTTCAGATAAAATTTCTGTAATAAATATATTGAATTCTAAGCTCGAGGATGTCGTAAACTCCTTATAAAAAAATTATTCTCGAAATTTACCTAAAGAGTTTTGGTTATTTCTCTCTCATCTCTGCTTCTCGTTCCCATCGTTCCTAAGAGACTCCCGCTTGTATTATTTCTCCTCAAGACCTTTACTAGTGTAGGAGATTTATTCCTGGGCCCTTTGACCTCTCGAAGAAATTTTAGTACTAATTGTTTTCCAAATGTCAAGTTGCAGTGAAGATCTCAGTGAGTTTTTTTAAATACACGTGAAGGGACAGGCACATATTTTCTTAAGATGTTTACGTAAAAAAATGTTGGGTACTCTTTCCATATATGTGGCTAGTTTCAACTTGTAGGCAAGTGCGCCAACACTTGTTGAAATGTTGACAATGCCTCACTAATTTGTCTTGACTGCTGATCGGTTGACTTGGTTTAATGAAAGCATGTTATGCAAATGTGTTTTTCGGCTTATATTTTTTTATGGAATATGGCCTTAAACGTGGCTTGTTTATGGAAGTTGGATTTGTAATTTTCTGGGCCATATAAATAACCTCCTTTAGGCCATGTTACACACATATCTGTGTGTGGGTGCCATTTTTAGGATTTCAGTCTTGTGTCTTCTCTCTCACATGTTACTTCATTCTCTCTTTAATTTTGAGTGGACACACTTGATGTATTGAGAGTATATTGTGAGTTTGGAATGGAGGTATACTATGGTAAACTTATTTTTGCGAAGCGAGATAAATACTTGAAGAAATCTGTCATACACTGTACAAACTGATTATTGGCATGATTTTAGTGATTTGGAGCAATATCTCTACACAATAGATGCTCAACAGGTGAGCAGATTTTACAGCACGTGAACATTTGAACCCGTTAGTGGGTGAAAATTCTTTGTGTTCGATTTTATTTTCTGCAATTTTACTTTTTGAAATATTTTGTTCAAACGATCGGTTTGGGGATCCATAAGTGATATCAGAGCCTCAACGTTTTCAAAAGAGGTTTTTTTATTTTTATTTTTTTTATGAAACCCTAGTTTTCCAAAAGTAATTTTTATGAAAATCGTTCAATTTAGATTTTTTGTGAAAATAATTTTGTTCTATGGAAGAAACCTATATGATCCATCTTCAATTCAACTTATGGTTGGATTTCTTTCAAGACTTTGTGTTTTTGAGTTAGATCTGTAAAGATCTTGGAGGATTCTGGCAATTTCTTGAGGTTTTGGTAGTGCTTTCTTTAAAACATTGATAACTCGTTCATGATTTGGTGAATCTTATGTTTTTCACATTGGTTTCTGGTGATTCGTTCATAACTCCTCACTACTAAGTTGTGGTGATTCTTGTAACTCGTTCCTGGTTACTAGTGAGTTGAGTTAACTTAATTCGATTCTTGGTGATTGTTTGGCCTACTCCTGATTTCTACTGAGTCATAGTGACTTGCTGAGTTCTTACATGCTATTGGGGATCTCTAGTTCGATTATGGTATTCTTTTATCTAATATCTTATTCTCTAAACCCTATTCTTTACTTTTCAATTACATACTGTCATGTTTGATTTTTGGCTGTCAAAGTAATTGGCATGTCTCTGTTTACCTTTATTCAATATTGAGGGAGCATTGAATGAAAGGGCCTTCAACTCTTAATCTTACCAAATCAATAGTATATTTTATAAATTGCACTTATTGATCATTTGCCGTGTCATTAGATAATATTATTTAAGTGGAATCACACTGTATAATCTGCTTTACTATTTTTTTGCAAAATTTTTTGGTAAGTAGAGATAACCTATATTTTACTACAACCCTTTACTTAAAATTTTGCAAAAACTGTGATAATATCATCTTGCTTGATCTTGACACACTCTCTGTGTGGTATATACCTGTATGTGTGATCTTATCTATAAACATGAGTTCTTCACAAAAGTTTAAGGCTAAATTGTGGAATGACACTGGAGACATTGGTCTCGACGCCAGAAGATGAGAGCTCTGTTGTTCTAACAAAGATATGTTGTTGTCCTAAATGGAACTTGGGCAGCAGAAGTGAGTGCCTATAGGAGAATAGAATTAGATGGGATTATCTGGACCTCAATTTTTCTTTACCTATCTGATAGTGTGATTAGGGAAGTTGGGGAGACAACCTAAACTAAAGCGTTGTGGAAAAAACTAGAGATACTTTACCTGACAAAAACAATAACTAATAAGTGTCATTGACTGAGATAATTCTATGATTTTAGGTTTGATACCTCATCTAGTTTAGAAGAGAATAACAATAAGTTTACTAAGTTGGTTGTTCGTCTGAAACCCACAAACGTATGAGATCGTTGACAAGTAGTATATTTAGTGAGTTGAGAGTATCGTCCCACGGAAAATAAATTCAATTCAAGTTTATTAGTTTCGTATGAAATTTGAATTATGTAACATCAAAAAAAATTTGATTCGATTTATCCTAAATTAATCCAATAAAGCTGTAAGAATTTGGTTTTTATCAAATTATTGATGATTATATTGGATTTCTAATATGCCTATTGCTTTTTATTTCAATTATTGGTTTGTAATTTAGTTCTTAACAATCGATAAAGTTATGATAAATAATTTTCTTTTCCAAGACAAATTAAATATATCCTAATCACGAATGGCTTGTTTGAATGTAAAAACGGTCAATATTACATCCTAGGATAGATGGACTATTCCGCGTCATTGAAAAGATTGAAATAATTTGCATTTTTGTTATTTCTTATCTTTTTCTCTTTAATGCAGGTATACGAAGAAATGAAGGGGATGATGTGATCTAGGATACGAGGGCAAGTCCGGGGAAGGATCCATTTAACGTTGAGGAATGGCCTATGACTAGGTTGTAAGAGAAGCGGGTCAAAGAAGTTATGTGATTTCTTGTTCAAGCAACAATTGACGAAACATCGATCACAACAAGTAAAGGAACAAGTTTCATATTAGGCTTGGAAAAAGAAAAAGATGGATCAACTTGGTTCATGCAATAGATGATGAAGCTGCTCCGGACAACTATGCAACTACATAGCCCCTTACTGAAACTCAGTTGAAGGTTTAAGATACAACTATGGGACCACATATCATTAGGCTATGCGACCACATAGTTCAAATTGGGAAGCGAATTTTTCAAATTTCACGCAATCTTCTTTTTTAGTTAAAATTCTATTTTGTGATATCTTTTGTTATTTTTAGAGTTTGATTCTGTTTTTCAGTAGGTTTTTATGGATTCCATATAAATAGGACTCATTTCATATATTATAGCACAATTTGAGAGATATTATTGCGAGGCATATTGCTTTCTTATTGTTTTTCATTGAACTAATTTTGAAC